GAATGCCAACGCTTCCTGGAAAGATTGCAGGCAAGAAGATTACGGTTCTAAGAGACACCGGTAGCTCCACGGTTATCGTGAGGAGAAATTTGGTACGGGAAAGTGAGTTAACAGGCAAAATGAAACCGGTTTGCCTAATTGACCGTACAGCTCGGATGCTTCCTGAAGCAGAGATTGAGGTGGAAACCCCGTACTTCAGCGGGAAGGTTACTGCTTTATGCATGACGACCCCCCTGTATGACCTTGTCATCGGAAACATCGACGGGGCGCGAGGGCCAAGTGATCCAGAATGTCTGGGAGAAGACCCGAAGATAGAGCCCTCGCCAACACAGCGGCCGCGAGATACAGTGGAGGAACATCCCGTGACGGGTCTCACTAGAGCCCAAGGTGAAGCTGCGGCGCAAGAGACAGCGAAGGAGAAGACGATCGTGTCGAATAAGTTCACAGGCCGAGCAACTGGACGTACGTCGGCACGACCTCAACCGACTGACAGTGTAAAGGAGACGGAGTTGGCCAGCCGGCAAAATGTAGAGGCATTATCAAGCGGGTAAATAAACAGACAGGACCCGTCGAATGTAATGACGCGTTAACGGTGTCGGAAGAGACAACGATGGCTGAGACGACGCCTCAGATATCGTCGTGGGAAAGGGCTCGCCGAAAAGGAACGTGGAAACACAAGAATAGATCGAGCGAGCACCGCAAGAAGGGACGCAAGCGCAGCTCGAAACACACGGATAGGTGCTGAGGTGGAATCAGAATGTGTTTGGCAGGGCTGAGTGACATATGTTGTGTTAATGTTCTTGTTATCCTGTGTCTCAAGTGTATGTCGAGTGAGTCAGTGTTCTGTGCGATGGTGTGATGTATAGTGTTGTATAATTGTTGGATAGACAGAACTTTGTACGTTTGTATTGTTTAGAATGTGTGATGGAGTGTTGTAGGCATGTGCCTGTGGTTATATTTCATGTGCTGTGGAATTGAACTACAATGTAAGATTGTATTGCGTGATATATTGTGAATGTGACGTGTCACGAGCGACGGATTGTGTTACAGTCTGTGAGAGTGTGTGGTGACTTTTCGCGCTCGTTTGTGTGGTTTTGAATATTATGAGATAATATTCTTAAAGTGGGGGGCAGTGTCACAGAACGAGCGCTAAAGAAAGAGCGCGCCGCCAAATCCTTGCGACAACGGGCGGCAGAAACGCCGCGAGGTAAAAAGGAAAAAAAAAAGAAAGCAAACATCCAGGGCTCCCGGGCGCGCGCTCTCCCTGCAGAAGCACGGCTTCGCAGACGATCCTCCTCACCCCACATCGGCGGCCCAGCAAGGCCGCGATTTTTCTAGAACGAAGGAGGCGGGGTCAGACCGAGTGAATCATCCTCCGGAGAGGGCAGTCGAACCGTCTCGTGCCTCTCCCCAGCCTTCGCTGCGTATCGCGCCGACGAAATGACGAGAAACATCTGGAAAGTCGCGCGGAAGGTATTTAATCGAGCGGCCGAGACGAGAAATCAGGAGAAGACGGAAAGTTAGCGCCGGAGCGCGTAGGAATTCCGCCGTGTAGTCGGCGAAGGTTCTGCCCTAGTGACAGAACAGGAGGAGACGGAAGTGAGCGCCAGAGTGCGTAGAGAGTCCGCCGTGTAGTCGGCGAAGTTTTTGGTCCGTAGGGACGGCTCGAGCTACAGGGAGCTGCAAACAAAGCAGTATGCATGGCGGGCTGGCGCACAGCATCAGCGTAGGTCAGTACGAGGCATTCCTGCAATTGCTGTTCAAGTTGAACAGGTTGCGCCTCGTGTTCCGCTTGTAGAATGGTGTGGCGAACGTCATCTCTGATCAGGGTAGTGAGAGACGAAACTGGCGTTTGGGACTTGTGAGGTCAGCAGCTTCTCGAGCTCTTCCTTCACAATGGATCGCACCATTTACCTCAATGCTTTGCTGCTGCTGCCCAGGTTTGCTGAGAGGACATCCGCAGGAACACTACTGGTATCATGATTGTAGTGACGGGAGCGCTGCTGCTATGCCCGCTCTGTATAGGTGCGGAATTAAGCAACTGTACGAGGTGGGTTGCGTACCAAACCGGCAATTAACTCCTGTTTGACACCTCGCATCAAGTGATGCAGCTTTTTCTCTTCGGTCATGTTCGGGTCAGCATGTTTGAAAAGGCGGGACATGTCCTCAATATACATGGCAACGCTTTCATTAGTGCGCAGGTTTCTGGACTGTAGAGCATTCTCCGCCTTCTCCTGACGATCGGTGCTGGCATATGTAGCTACTATTTGTCGTCGAAATTCTTCCCATGTCGGTATGAACGCTTCGTGATTTTCATACCACGTCCTCGCTGCATCCTCCAATGCGAAGTACACGCACCGCAGTTTCCTTGCTTCGTCCCAGCCGTTGGTTTTCGCAACCCGCTCGAAGTGTTCTAACCAATCTTCTACATCTCCGAACGTGTCGCCGTGGAAGGGCTCAGGCAAGCACGGTGGGGACAGAATAAGTTCCGATGACGTCACCTGGCAAGCCATCATTTCATTGTCTGTGGACGCTGCTTGCGTCGCTGGAGCACTGGGGAGGGGTGCGAATTCAGGCGGCGCTCCTCGAAGGCGGCGGCTTGAACGCTGGTGTACCAGAGTCAGTTCGCCAGGTTCCAATCATTGAGGATCGGGGCTTCGCTCTCTTGCACCAAGGGGGCTTCCAATCATACCTAGCACCGTCCACCAGAATGTAACAGGTCGAAGAGAAGAAACACCAAAAACTAGTTTATTATGGGTGAACTTGTGCCCTGAAAATTATGGGCAAGAAAAATGGAAGAGTTTGCTAGAGCGTTCCAAAACAAAACACCCGTTAGAATATAACATTCTGTAAAAGTGGTTGTTTAATTGTCTATTAGTTCACATGTAGCCTCTTGATGTTAAGCCATGAAAACACCTAGGGAAAAGTTGCACTGCCGCAAAGCTCCACTTCAATGTTAAGATATGAGGCAAAATGAAAAAATCAAATTTTTCCACGAGATGTCGTTTTCCGGTTATGTTAAATAACCAATTTATTTCCCTAATTTTGCTGCATAAAATTTCCGTCTACACAGTTTCTTTCCAATCGATACAATAAAAATTGTTTAACCACCCATCACCTACGAAACCGAAACTGAAAGCGCTAGTTTTGTGTGCATCATTAGATTAGCTAGATATGTAGTATTTTATTAAATATTTAGCAATCATATCAAGTGCAAACATGTAATATTGTAAAAGCGTTGTCAACACATCACTTTTAATCATAGAAGTCACTAGGTGAATGTGCAAAGTGGTCATTGTGTTGCTAATGCTCAAGGACACTTATGTGAGCCTGTAAACTGTCAAATTTACTTTGTTTGAGAAAGTGTGTTATTTTAATGATGGCAACATGAGCACATCTGATATGCTTAAGCAAATTGGGATCAATGCTGGCCCCTACACCGAAAAAGCGTAGATCACAAACAATCAGCACCGTAGCAGGAGAGCGTCCCTTCATGTCACTGATGCTGCAAAACAAGCCCGTAAAAAAACTTTAAAGTGGCCGTAGAGTAAAGGCACACAGTAGTAAGGTCCACGATAAAATTGGCTAGAAATATTGAGAATTTTAGCTCTTCTGGGTATCTTGTGGAAGCACTGCACCTGTTTCAAATGATTTTGGTTGATTTTCTTGAAGCTTATACTTCTAATATTTTTCCGTATGCAATAGCTCTTTTGCTAATAAAGGTTTTTTTATTAAAACTTGGCACACTTCTTTATCACTTCAGTAGACGTGCAATGAACCTCAATAAGGAGAATCGTGACACAAGATTTAGTATGGCTGTCTGTTATACGAAGGTGCCCCTAGTGCTAATGCATATTTTTTTGGCTACTCAATTACTATATTTTTACTATTCATCAGATCTCGTTTGTTTTGGTTCATCGCACAGGCTAAAGGTTTTTATATGTGCCTGCAAAAAATGAAACTTTTTTAACTAGCGGAGTTTGAGTTAGGAGTGTTCTTGCAAGCCATACTTTTAATGAAATTTTGAATTATGAAATATGGAACATAAAACATGGCTTCCTTTGTAATGCTCACATGTGCCTAAAAGATGTGCTTCATATTGCAGACAAATAATTTGTATCAGTAATTGCTTTTTCAATAAATTGGCCTCATATTTTAGATGAATGTATTACCCTCACATTGATTCATCATTTCATTCAAGTTTCAAGGCTTGTTCTACTGGCTTATATGCTGTAAATATAATAAACATTAAGATGTAACATACTTTACAGGTTATCACTTGCATTCTGCAGAAAGTCAAATGTTGCTACCGTTCAAAGTTGTTTCCACTTTCTTTGATTAAAAAAAAAAAGGCACTTTCACAGGCCTTGTTTTAATTTAAAAAAAATATTGAGCAGGTTACTTAGGTCATTACAAATATGCTTATTTTTCTTTATAGTGGGGGATATACATGCTATTTGAATTCTATTTAGAAATGTTATACTAATATCACTATTTGATTCGAATTTGCCTCAAACCTAAAATTCATTATTCGCACAAGCCTAGCAAATTGATATTTCTGTGCCACCCACTGCTCAGCGCACTGGTAAGTGAGGCGGGGTGAGCATAGTTAGACATTGTGTAGTGCATCACCTATTCAGTGCAAATGGAAAAGAGAGGGTTCTCATTTGGATTGTCAGTAACTTCTTTTATGCAAGAAAGAGCCAGAAGTTTTGTGTGCCCTTAATTAGCAGGAACCCATCCCCTAAATAAGATTCACCTAAAGCAGTAATTGGAGGCAGAGAGGAATTGAAAAATGTTCTGTTGTACTGTAGGACCCCTGTGGTAAGCTCATATGCTTACTGCTTCAATTTAACTTGGATTCTGTACAGTGAGGACCACACGCTCTCGACCTAAGGCTTTATGTTGTCATTAAAGGCGATGGAGCATACACTTTCATTTCCTCCTGTAATTCGTGATTCCTAATCCGCCATTGTACACACCACATTCCTCTTGTGCAGACCCCCCATTCTCGGCCAAGGACACTCTGCGTGCTTGGCAGGAGAAGAATCACCCGTGGCTTGAGCTGTCGGACGTGCACCGGGAGACGACCGAAGGCGTGCGAGTCACTGTCATTCCCTTCTACATGGGTTGCCGCGTCGCACAGAGCAGCACTGTCTACTGGGTGTGTCAACCTGCACTGCATTAACCTCGTGCATCTGTACACTGTAGTTGTACACCTGTAGTTGTACAATTTAACACAAATTGGCATGCTAATAGTTTTTTCTCGTCTTTTCAAATATGTCATTTATTTTCATGTAGATTGCTTGGTTTTTCTTTCAACTGCAAAATTATGGCCATTGTTATGCAACAATTCTGACCTATAAAAATCTGAGATAAAGCATGCATATATAGCTGACTATGATCCTTTGGAACTGTAGAGTGCAAAAAACTATAGAAATTTTGTGTGTAAAAACGTGAAATACAATATTTAAAATAGAAAAATTTACTATGGCTCTAGTTGCCAAGGGCTTTCAATGTTATGTAATTTTTGAAAAACATAACCAAGCAGCACCGACAATCTGAATAGACTTGCACCCTATGGGCCTTCATCATGCTATGTGCAAAATTTCATAGAGGTTTGACAATTCTAAGTATACGAACTAGCGTGTATAAGAAGCACAGATCACACAAAACTGCAAAAGGAGGAAAACGCATTTGAAAGTTTGAAACCTTTTTTTTTTTTATCACAGAGTTGTTAGAAATGCATAATCTTTGGCCATAATGTTCAACAGAACTTTGAAAAGCACTGCAAATTACTAGAACTGTCCTGCAGCATAGGTTGTGCCCTCACGGTCCTTGCGAGCACTCTCTTCTAGCCGTGCCCTTTTCACTCCACGACGGTGGGCCCTTGCTTCTGCTGTCAGACGCTCGGACATTCTCTTGATGCGCCTCACATCGCGGGAATCACTGAAAGTAACTAGATCTCTAGATGGCAGTATGTTGCGCTCTTCCAGGATGTGCTCGAAAGTAGCATGACCCTTGTTGAACCACAGGATTGCCATAGCTGCGGCAGTCTCGACAACCGTTCTGGAGACAAACTTAGTCTTGGGGCAAAGTAGCCAAATTTTGCTGTTCAGGGATTCCGATGCGTTCTGGGTTTTCCCTTTGATGCATCGAGCAAGGAGCTTCTCATCCGTTAGCCGCTTATAAATAGGCGAAACAGCCAATCCCTGTGCTTTTGTCAGGAGAGGTGTGTGGCGTGATGCAGGTTCACCAAGTGCTTCAGCACGTTGATGTTTGCACCACGACTCTGTTCCTGCAGGGCAAAACTTGTGGCGGCCAGCATTGTCAGTAGAGCATGAGTGGAAGTACGAAGCCCATACTGCAGTGTACATATCCTGTACACTCCCCCTGTTGCTTATTATGGCAATCTGATAGTATGTTTGGAGCTCCTGAATGGCTGGCTCTTTCATTTTCTGCCCTCGTGGTAATGGCACATGCAGCTTCCGTAGCGCGGTGCCAAGTCTCTTGGCCACATGATTAGTGCAGTCTTCTTTTTCTATATTGACAGCACCATAGACTTTTGGCTCTGCAACTTCACTATATGCTTTGCTGTCACCGTCACTCAAGAATGTCATGAAATGCAGTGGGGTGTCATAAGTCAATGTTCTCTGCCAAATGCGCATTGCAGCCTCCGTTTCCATGGCATGGGAGGAACAGTCTGCATTTTTTTCACAGACTGGGCCATGGAATGCCTGCCACACTTCCTCGTCTGGGCCCATATCCTTGAGCCTACTGCATGTCAGACAGTAATTTGATATGACCTCAAAGTCTAAGCAGAGGCCAGTATCTTAGGAGATAACTGCGCCAATCCCGTTGTGGCTTTTGTGGCCCCTCTTCTGCCAAGTGCCGTCGAACATAACAGCCACATCAGTTTCGCCTGCTACTTCTTTCGTCAACTCTCTCTCTGGATCGGCGCAAGTTTTCACTCACAGCTGCCATGGCAGCGGTGTGCACCTTCTTTGCTATCGAAAAAAATCCTCGGTGGTGCATTGGCTTTGGGAGTCCAATAATGGAGCAAAATCTCGACAATTGCTCATGCCCAATGCCGACAGCGCGTGCAGCCACCACCGCCTTCACATTTACAGCGAAACTCTCTCGGGAGCTCCCACTGTCGTACCGTTGGCTCACTTGGCTGCTGCCGTTCGCCGTAACACGCAGTGACGTATAGGAGCACGAAAGGACAGTCGCTGAGCATTCCCTGTTTTCGCAATGAAGTTCGAGGAGCGACGAAAGTCCCTAGCACTTTTCTGCCGGCTCCCGAACGGCAAGTTTTTGAATACCGCAAGCAGGGCATGCAACACCTGCCACAAGTGCCGTCAGCAAGAAGGTGTCGCACAAAACTGTCGTTGCACAAACCTCATCGCGCTGTCTTTCGTCTTTTTTGAAGAAGCTGAGCTTCTTTTCCGAAGCACTGACGAAAGAAAGCGCAGCGTCAATCCCTTCATTGCAGCCACTGTGGCTCGCGCACTCGTCGATGCCGCCGTCAGGCCTAGCACACGTAGGCGCGTTCTCGTTCGTCGCCGTTGTTCGGGGCGCTTTACGCCGCCTTCCCTTGAACTTGTGCTTCGTTCGAAACTTCTGCGGTCTCACGTTGCACTTTTTCGGGCTTGTCATCGCGGAAATATGCGTAGACGCGCAGAAAAGCAGACGGACGAAATGCCGATGGCCGCCACCAACACAGCTGACAATGACTCGGTAGCCAATGGCGATGCGGCTTAGGGTGCCGCGCGTTTCAAACCGCTCAAACCACGTGATAAAAAGGCCTGGTTTTTTATTTTATTTTTGTCCACGTACAAAACTGGCGGTCGTCGGAGCTGTAAGAAGAAGGCCGGACGCAACTTTCCCTTACCGATCGCGATGGCGGGCAGCAGTGCGACGGGGAGCAGCACGCAGTCAAAGATGGCCAATATCGGTGCAAATTCACGAAATTCTAAGCCACCGCGATGCCTTCATACACACTTTTTTGCATTTTGCGGTTCGAATTTAGTTTTGAAATTTTCACACATGAAAGAAGAAGGTTTGAAGATTACAATGCAATAAAAATCAGAAATACGAGAAATTTTGCTGAAAACGCAATTTTTCGACTCGCATCTCCCCTTAATTGATTTTAGCCTTTGGTAGCTGTGGTAGCGGTTGATGCGTTGCTGTGCTGTGCAAAATAGGCAGTATTGCTGGCTTGGCTGATGAGCGGCAGTTTTTTAAATCTTTGCGATAAAAATGCATATCCTTGGTGGTACCACATTGAAGTTATCTTCATGATTAATTTACACTTACATGTATCTGGTTTCTCATACTTATATATACTTCGAGTAGTACGATGACCCTTTAGTTTGTCGACGGCAGATTTTGGATACTTGAACCGATATGGTTTACTAGCTTGGATTTATATTTATCTGTTGCTACTCTGTTAAGCTCAAGCACTTTATATTGCTGCATAAAAAGTGTGTGCATAGGGATGTAACATTAAGTGTAGCTTTATTAGCTGTTAGTAGCTTGTCGGTGCTTTGGTAGGCCCATTTTTGCAGTCAGTAAGACACTTGGTTATGCTTGTTTTACTACCCTGCAAATAATGAACACAACTGTCATACATGATCCTTGCCATCAGAAAGGCTTGTAGAAATATAGCATAGAATGAAAAGACGCATTCTTGTTCTTGAACCTTCACTAAAACCTCGGCAAAGATCAAGGTACAAAAATGTTTGTTGTATGTACTAATATTGCGGTGCCCATGGGCCTTGGGAGTTCAGTGTAATTTTAGAGTGCCGTTTGGTGTATCACATTCAGCCCCAGTCGTGCTTCTACTTCTAGAAAAGTGTTGTGCAGCCATTTTATGCCGCGAAAGTAAATCAACAGAGAAGTTGCACGCTAAACGTGGTTGGACAAGGCTACTGCGAAAGCATTACTGCTTCCTTAAAACAAAAAGATAGTAAATGAAAAATGGATCTTGACCATCTATTCATTGGAAGTCAGCTGCGTATGTAATTCTCAAGAATGTTGGTTGTTTCTGTAGAAAGTTGTTGATCAAAACTGTAATGGCCACTTTTTTTTACGACCTAGATGTGTTGCCTCGTACAAGATGTCTTGCCTTGTGCACAACCCGATCCAGTGTGCTCATCGTTCTATTGCCTGCAGTGGCGCTATTGCATCCGGCTGGAGAACCTGGGTGACCTAGCAGTGCAGCTACGGGAACGTCACTGGCGCATCTTCAGCTTATCGGGAACCCTGGAGACGGTCCGTGGTCGGGGCGTCGTTGGGCAGGTGAGGAGACAATCACCAAGTTGCCCAAGTTTATTATTTCCATCTATCAAATATTTTGTAACCTTTACTTACTTGGAAATGTTGTACGATTCTGTACACATGTCACTGCACATTTTTTTTTTACGATCTTCAGTCGTTGTGTAGCAGTTTCCAAAGTAGATGTACGTAGGAGTATGATGTTTATAGTAGTGTACTAACACTGTGAAGTATTCTTGGGGTGCCTTTATGTGACATTTCGTTGCATCAGTACATTTATAATGATAGATAATTTCTCATAGTATTTCATTGTAAAGGTTGAATATATGAAGCACTGCACTGACCAAAGTAAAAATGTAACACAGACATACACAAAAGAACATTTCTGCTCCAACACACAATTAAGCATTGTTCACAAGTAAAATGGAAACGCTACTCCAAGCAGTTCACTTTAAGGGGAGATTCGAGTCGAAACTATCATTTTTTTTTTCCAAAATTACAAATTTTTTGTTTTTATTGCACTTTTACTAGTTTGGTTTCTCTACTTTCACAAAAATAAAAACTGAAGATTGTCATTAAACTCAAAGTAGGTTAATATCACTAATAAATAGGCCATCTCAACAGGTGGAATTGATGGTGGAAGCAATACATTTTTAAAATAAATGAACTAACATTAACAAGTTTTTTTCATAATGTGGCATTTGTTATAAGCCTTAGATGGGCTTAACTACTATGTAACACAGATTTGCCATGTACGCATCGTACAGGGCAAATCTTGGCTTAAATAGTTAAAGTTTTCTGTCATACGGCCTGCGTGAAATTGTTTAGGTAGCATCGCCCATCAGCTTACGCGCCTGGGCATTGCCTGTATACAGTTTCTCAAACTGTGTAGACCCATCCGAGCCTTCGTTTATTGCAGGAGCCAATCCTATCAAAGTCGCAACCAGCATTTCAGTACAGCAGTCACGTGAGCCTGCAAGCGCCAAGTGGGCATATGTGGTATGTCTAACTTTTTCGTATTTTCTTTGCTTCATTGTCGAGCTATTGAGTTCAGAAGCGTGCAATCGATACAAAATTGTTAACATAATGTCCTCGTCCATTAAAGAGAATTTAAGAGAGACACCCCTTGTTTTTTTTTTACGTACTAAAAGTTCTGCTGATCATTCACACTATTGCATAGTGTCCTGTCGCTTCCCACAAAGAGCATTTCTCGCATGCAGTCAGTGATGAGATGCACATTGCTTAAAAAATTTTCATACATAACTGTGTCACGCATGGAGACAATAGAAAGGCTTAGTCCTGCGGGCTACCATTCATTTCTAATGGCTGCTTGTGTCCATGTAACTGCTGCGGAATCGCAAGTGAAATTGTCTAATACACAGGCACCTGTTGCAATTAGTAGTGGCACTATTAGAGCTGTAAAAAAAAACAATTTTAAACTGCCCTCAGTTGCAGATAGTCTTGCTGGATTTGCCTTTTTTCCTTTAGAAAGCAAGCTGCGGTAGAAAGGTAGCGTGATGTAATGTTATAGAAGCTAATAAATGCGCAAAATTCTGGTAGTTTACATAACTGAACTTAGTAACACAGCCCGCACATCTCGTTCACGCAGTGCTGATGCGTCGAAGCTGATTTCGCAATGCTGTTTCCTTCCTCGCAGGGGCACGTTTCGGATGGAGCGAGAGGACGGCTTCACATTCGACTGTCGGATTCCTCCATTCTCGCTCGAAAGCAAGCAGGAGCAGAGCCCACAGCCGGCAGCCGTCTAGTCACTCGCCGTATCCCATTGGCCATACCGAGGCCAGTCGCTGTGCCCTGCCACACACACGCACACACACGAAGCAAACCTGCTTAACGTGATGCCATGAACCGAAGTCGTGCAAGAGGAGCGCTTGGGTCTCCTCCAGAGCTATCTCGAAGACAGCTAGCAAATTCAGGGCTTGAGGAGGGCTTCGTACATGGCTCTGCTTGCTAGAAGCACTAATGCAGAGTCTAGTTCTTGCACGAACAAACCTGTGGCTCGACCCTGCTACAGCTGTGAATATTGTTGGTTGAGCAACACACGATGGACTTCCAGAAGACTGCTGCGCAATGTCTCATTCAGCCGTGGGTATCACTCTGGACAGGGCCAAGCTGTCGTACTCGAGGTGGACTGTTTATTGCATAGTTGGACGGCGTGCCAGTGCTAGTGGCTTTTGTAGCCGTTTTATTTTGTTCGAAATTTGCAGTTGATGTTATTTTTTAGGAATGAAAGATCTTGTTTTTCTTCAGACAAGGAGGCTGTTTTTGCCTTGCTTGCATGAGTTGATTGTTACGAAGAATAGAGTTCATGAAAGAGTAAAAGTAAAAGAGAGCCAGTTTACATTGTTGTGTGTTTCTTTCGGGATTATATTTGCACTCAGTGTCCAGACAAGTGTGATGAACATTGCCAGGAGAGCTAAAGCAAAGGTTAGAAAGTAACGACACTATAAGCCACGTCGAATTCAATTGCATGTAGCTTTATTGCAATTCCAAATACGTTCCGAGGTCATTTGTATTCTGTTTGTGTGGTTCACCATAGAGCGTGAGTGCTACGAGATGTTGGCACACCTGATCGAAGAAAGCACACATGGGTCACTCGAGAGCGATGGTGGCTTTGGTGCATGCAGCCACTGTGAAGGGACAAGTGATGAAGAGGGTGGTCAAATGAGCAACAGTTGCGGGGCGACTTGCACACATTTATGGGCGAGACTGAAATTTCCTGAAAACATGTTTCGAGGCAAGATTAAGTGTGATGGCTGCTCTAGCCCTTCGACTAAGTACGGCTAAGTGCAAAGGCGTGCATGGTTGAACCATCTTGCGTACCTGTAGTCAATTACGCTCTAAAAAAAAATACACTCCACCCATGAAAGTGCAGTATGCCTGCCATTAACGTCTGTAAGATGCCTGTGTCATTCATTTTCCGTTTCCAGCATAAGTATGCACAGAGCAGTCTACTGTTGTAGGGAACATTGTATCATCTGGTGGCTACTCAGCGCCACTGCCTGCTGCTGACTGCAGCGAGTTTTGAGCTTGCTCAGTGCTTTTTCGTAGTGTGAACGGTTCACGTACGGATAATTTGATGTGCGGCAACAGTTTGTAGTAAACACAACGAAAGACCGTCATTCACAGAACGCACTGCACATGCGCAAAACTCATTGCAACTGCCACATGGCAGTGGAGCAGTGTGGCGGCCACATGCTCTGATGTTTCCTTTCACAGTGGACCGCTGTGCAGTTGCTTTTTGCTATGTACAGTACGGTCCACTGTTAGAGAAAACACGCGAACGCGTGGCGAAAACTGCTGGCGAGATTCGTAAACTTGGCACACCCGTATAAAAGCGCTAAGGCGACAGTTGTCGGGTTTCGTCTGCTGCTTTCTGCCCCTGCACTTGCCTAGCGCTTTCGTTTTTCCGCGGTGCGATTCATGCCGCCGCTATTGCAGGGCGCCCTGCAACACTTTTTGAGCATGGTCAGAAAACTCTGCTGATCGGTGGTCGAGGCTACCGTGAATACGCGAACCAAATATTATAGTGCAGCATGTGGCCTGCGATTCACAATAAATTCTCAAAACCAGCTAAAAACTGCTCTCTCTCTTTTCGGGGCAAATGACACCACAAGATCAAAAATAACTCGTCACCGCCATTGTATCAGCTATTAGCTGATTTTAGCATAGCGCGCTCGGTCGTTACTGGAGTCTCCTCGAGAGGCCGCCACTTGTACACGCGTACGTGCACGATTCCATTGCAAAGCCGCGTATTCGGGGGGAGGAGGGGGGGGGGGGGGAGTGCTTAAGGAGGGACGCGCCCTTTGAAAACCGAAAAATCGCGAAAAAGTCGATTTTTTGAAAACCACATACTCGGGCAGTATAACTCATAAACTGCCTCTACTGTAAATATCAATGTCTAATTCATCGCGAAAGTACGTCAAATAAATTTTATAACATGCCGCGGCAGCCGGCAAGCGGCGAGCGAGCGCCAAAAATACCCAACTTTGCGCGCTCGGCCATTTCCCAACCGCGCGGCCCGATCGCCGCCATCTTGATGTTGTTTTTGCATCGTGTGAATTGCTTGCGGCCTTTTTTTTTTTTTCGCCACCCGCGGCAGTGGGCCGGGGGCGCTCCGAGGCGGGAGTCGCTCACGATTAGGGGGCGCGCGGGAGCTTTCGAATGTCCCGCTGCCTGGATGCAAGCCGCGATTGGACAAAGCGCGTGCCTCTCGAAGGAATGGTGGAACGCGCGGCTCCTATTGGCTGCTGCGCGCGATGACGTAGCTGCTTCTCCGGCATGCGCCGGCTCGTCGTCTGCACCGGCGCTTGCAATGCCGGCGTTCTTTGTGTGCCCCGTTTGCCATCATTCCGATCGGTCGTCACACATGCTCCTCTATCTTTAACCGTCTTCACGAGACGATCTTCTACCGTCTTTACGAGACGATCACTACCGTCCTCACGAGACGATCTTCCGCCGTGTTCACGGGACGCGGATTGTTGCGCTGACGGTCACGATGGGCATTTCGAAGTTCAAGACTCGGCACGCGTTCGGTTCAAGAAAGCGTCAGCTGAAGCTCGTACGCATGGCGAAGCTCACCTGCACGACCACGCGTGGTGACAGTTGCACCGATGCTTCCGCTTCATCTTTTCAAGACGATTGCGTCGACGCTTCTAGCGACGAGACTTATACACCATCGGCACAAGGATCCGTCGTGACGAGTGAGGCTGGTGTTTCGTGCTCAAGTGCGCCTGGTGTGTCGCACTCGCCAACCGCATTGATTCCGGCCCCGAACAGTGAGACCGCGTCGTCGACTGTGCACTTCCAAACACGTTTTCGGACGTGCGAGGAGTTGGCGACGGCGGAGAGAGAACGTGCTGCTGTGCAACGAAAGCTTGGCGCTATGCCAGCGACCGAGAGGAAGTTTCAAGCGATGATGCCTGAACCCGAAGCTGCCACCGCTACGACCGAAGGCGAGAGATATTTCCTCGTGCAAGGGGATGCCCTCAGCGACATGCTGTCCAAGACCCCGTGCCCGCGCTGCCTCGCGACCGGGATGAAAGTTCAAGGAGGCACCCAGCTTGGACTTGCCACGAAGCTTGAGCTGGTATGTCCACGTTGTGGAATAGTTTCAAGTTCGTGGAGCTCTGCTCGTCAGAACGAGTCAAGGGCCTTCGACGTGAATATAAGAGCCATTACGGCCATGAAACAAATAGGGAAGGGACAGACAGCCCTCAATGACTTTTGGGCAACTATGAATGTTTCCCACCGTGGCCTGCACCACAGAACTTTCCAGAGGCACCTGAAGCAATTCAGAGAACCACAGCAACAGACCCTGGATAAATTCTATGAAGAATCGGCTTCTGCTGTGAAAAAGGTGTACAAGGAGATGGACCCATCTTTCTGCAAGGACATTACAGTGAACTATGATGGCACGTGGCATAAGCGCGGACATACATCTCACATTGGAGTTGGTGCAATCATCGAGTATCACACAGGCCTCATCTTGGATGCTGTAGTTTTATCGAATCAGTGTCTCGGCTGCCAGGTAGGACCGAAGCCTGAAGACGAGGGCTATGCAAGCTGGTTGAAGCACCATGTGTGCCAAAAAAACACTGATGCCAAGTCTGGGAGGATGGAGGTTGAAGCAGCTGTAACTCTGTTCTCACGTTCACTGTCCAAGCATAACCTCCGGTATACAACCATAGTATCTGATGGGGACAGCGCCACATTCTCTGCCCTTCAACAAGACAATGTTTATGGGCTAGTCCCTATTGTGAAAGAAGAATGCTTGAACCATGTCCGGAAGAGGATGGGCACAGCCCTACATAATCTTGTGCAGAAAAGCGAACAGGCTCTGGGAGGGAAGGGCAGATTGACAAAAGCCCTTATTGATAAACTCACAGACTATTATGGCTGGGCACTGCGGAACAATTCAAACAATGTGGCTGCAATGCAGCGTGCAGTGATGGCGTCATATTATCACGTCACCTCAACTGACGAGGATCCTCACCATGACTTGTGCTCGGAAGGTGCAGACTCGTGGTGCCGTCATAATGCCTGCAAGGGGAATGGCGTGCCACCTCCAAAGCACAAATACAATCTTCCGGGCTACGTTGCAGAAGCGCTGCTGCCAGTCTACCAGCGCCTTTCGCAGGCTTCTCTACTGCAACGCTGCCTGGGAGCAAAAACGCAAAATGCATCGGAGTCATTCCATTCTGTCCTATGGTCCTTGATGCCCAAGGAGCAACATGCATCATTGATTGCTGTCGAGACAGCACTGCATGACGCAGTTTTGCGGTATAATGCCGGCTGCTACAGGGCCACCCAAGAGTTGTCGTCATCAGTGGGACTCACACCTGGCCACCTAACCATTCAACGAGCTGCGGAGAAAGACTCTCTGCGTCTGAGAAAGGCTCAGGAACGGATGAATGAGAAGCAGGAAAAGCGGCAAAGAAAAAGAGAGCCTAAGGACACATCTAGCTACTCTGCAGGGTCATTTTAGACCATAATAAATGTTTGAAACTTTCGAAGTCAATTTTCTCAGAATGACTTTTTTTGGCCAGTGAGGCTGCTTAGTCAGGTGATCTCTCTGGAACTGCTGGTCTGATTTCTATCAGGTTTTTTATTATGCACCTTAATAAATTGCCCAGGGCAGGACAAGCCCGCTTTTTCAATTTATTGTGTCTGTAATTTGTAATAATTAACTAAAACTTCATTGATGAGAGCCAAATTGTGAACACTAAATTCAGTGCTCTGCTAACATTTTTTGGCAAGGAAATTTAAAAAAAGGGCTCTGTCTTGCCCTAAAGCACCTATCCAGGAATCATCATAGTGAATTTCACAGTGCTAGCACATTTTTCAAATTCTCCAGACCCTGACTAAGGGACCCATGTGGACTACCCTGATAAATGGCTGTAACTTGGGAACCAGTGAACATAACTGCATGAAACTTTGTGGTCATTCAAATGGCTTTGCTATTAGTGTACCCTGAAAATTTCATTAAGATATCTTGACAAACAAAAAAGTTGCCCTTCGAAGGTAGCCTCCCCCCTTAAGGGTTACGAGGCGCATGTGACATATTTTCTTTCCCTATGCCATCTCTCCCTGCTTAGCTTCCAACACTGTGATACACCTTTGTAACTTTGCTCATACTGGACGGATTCTAAAAATTTTAGCATCGATGAATTCGTCAGGCAATATGCATCTTTACTTAATCCATTCCATAGCTACTTAAAAAATGTTGCAGGGCCCTTTTAAATCAACACATTATTCTGAAATCATTCACCATTTTTTTAAGCTCAAAAGCTGGTTATGACGGCTTATATGCTCTAAGCATAATAAATTGTAATAAATTTTAA